TTACCATAATATTACTTAGCTTTAGATATTTTATCAAAAAAATGTGTTTTTGTTACTTTTGAAGCAATAGTAATTAAATCCAGTAAAATCAACGATTTGAACGGGGGCGTGTCCTAATCGTGACGTGGATTTGGAAATCTGTGCTGAGCTTTGTAATGGATGACCGGACGCGTAGCCACTGCTAATTAAATAACATTAAATAATATGTACTTTTTGGGTTTAACCGGTTAAAATTCATTATTATTTTAGTATTTAAATTGCAGGTACTTCTGGTGTGTGGTTAGCCATCATACTCAGAAGTAGTTATTTTTACTGAACCGCGGTCAAATTATTGCCCCTTTACACAATCAGAGACCTTGCACATAATTTAACCGCGGTAAAAATAATTTATCCGCGGGTAAATTACGTGGAGCACGACCTCTGATTGGGTAAAAGGTCTATAATCCCTGGCTATAATTTAATCGTGACTAAATTATTACTGCTGCGGTAAAATAATTGTTTCTAAGTAGGCCTACAGTGGCCAACCACAAGTACTCTTGTGGCGTGTGGTGTGTGTTTATCTTACCAATATTTGTGTCCTTCTCGTGTTTAAATATCTAATTAGTGTGGTTTATGATTACTTATAATTCTCACGTTTCCGTATTTATATCTGCCTTTACCTATAAATCGCGTGTTTAGTCAGTATAAAATCAACCAATGTACGTAAGCACAGTATAATGAAATGAGTCCAATATGTAAAGCGTAGTGAAATTGAGTTATAGTAATTTAAATCTACTCATCAATATATAACTACTACGGGCGATATGACACGAAATCAAAAGTGGTATGTAACACTGACAGCAAGCTGTAGGCCTACATCGCTCTTGGTGTTAGATCGTATAGGCACTAACAAATGACGAACCATAATTTGGAAATACTATTAATTGTTCTTATTTGCGCAAGCTAGAGGCATAAATTGTAACAACTGAAGACTGTATTAAAGTAAGCTCAAAATCACACTGAATTTTATACATATTTACTCGTCTGATACGCACTCTGAGGGGGCTGCCATTTTGCTGGAAGAGAGCACCGTGATTGGTTCAGGTTCAGCATAGAGCCACCCATTGACCGAATTTTACCATTTTAGCAAAAAATTAAAATGGAATTTTTAAAACCCATACGTCATAAAATAATATGCCATAATTTGAAATGAAATTAATTGAATGTGAAAATTTATTACCAGTAATTATTTTTATCAGGATAATATAATTATATAATATCCAGATTCATGCCTAGTTCCATGAAGTATTAAACAAATTCATACAACAATTACTGTTGACCCATGTTTCGTTATTTGTGTGCTCGTGTGTACAACCAGTACGACCGATAGAACAACTTTATTGTTACGCCAGAGCATATAAATCAACGAGCATATAGTCACTCAGTGCGATTCAGTGCAGTTGATTTATATGCTCCGGTTATTATATTTCCATTAAGTATCAAACAAATGTATACAATAATACAATAATCACTATTGGCCCACGGTCTATCACCGCCTATCATAACCGCATAAAGATTAGTCTTCGAAGTTTAAAAGACTATATCGACG